GCTAATGGCGAGCCCGGATCGAGATATTCAAATTTTAAGGTATTGAAAATTTAGATATACAGAGTGTTACATAACCTTTCCCTCTCTTCTACAACTTAAAGTATCAATGATATTCACAAATATATTTTATACCAAATCAAAGAGCATCAAAAACTGAATTTATTGGTACTAAATGGTAAATATTATGAAGACCTTTTAATGTCGAATTTAAGAGATTTTCAGAAATATGATACTTTTCTGGTGTAAACCCCTCCCCGCATTAGAAGACCCCCCCATATTAGTAGACCCCCCCATAATAGAAGACCCCCCTGGACAAAAATTTCATCGGGCGTATTAGAAGACTCCCCTTTAATTAATTAATTTTTTTGCTAATTAGGGACTTTAATTAGAGAATTTCCGCCCAGAAGTGCACAGTTTTTAGGTTTTTCAGCTGGGAATATTTAGAAAGTAGGTCCAAATGTATCCCTCAACCCTTAAAACTGTGAAAATCCCTATGAGAATCCTGAAAAGCGCTCTGGCTTTCTGGAAAACCACATTTAGTTAATAATTGCTAAAAAGCCTAGGACATAATAGAAGCCCCCCCTGAGAAATTTTTACGACGAGACATAATAGAAGACCCGGGGTCTTCTAATGCGGGGAGGGGTTTAGAAAAGTACGGTGCCAGTAATTCAAAAATGGAATAAAATATTTTTCCTCGATAGTTTTACATGGTTCAATAGAACTCGTCGAGCTGTACAAAACTGCATGTTTCAAAAATATTTTAAGTCATCTTTTTGAGCTGAAAAAATCAAAAACCTACTTGGAAAATCTCAAAAATGTTCAAGAACTTGACTTTTTTCATATGACAGAAAAACACTCGATTCTTCAATAAAATTAGTTTTTATTTACTGTTTTTGCTGTGTCAGACGTTTCGAAATATGCTCATTGGATTCAATTTTTCATGTGGCAGCGAATGAGTACATTTCAAAACGTCTGAGACAGCAAAAACAGTATATAAAAATTAATTTTATTGAAAAATCGAGTGTTTTTCTATCATATGAAAAAAGTCAAGTTCTTGAACATTTTTGAGATTTTTCAAATAGGTTTTTGATTTTTTCATCTCAAACAGATGACTTAAAATATTTTTGAAACATGCAGTTTTGTACAGCTCGACGAGCTCTATTGAACCATGTAAAACTATCGAGGAAAAATATTTTATTCCATTTTTGAATTACTGGCACCGTACTTTTCTACACCAAAAAAGTATCATATTTCTGAAAATCTCTTAAATTCGACATTAAAAGGTCTTCATAATATTTACCATTTAGTACCAATAAATTCAGTTTTTGATGCTCTTTGATTTGGTATAAAATATATTTGTGAATATCATTGATACTTTAAGTTGTAGAAGAGAGGGAAAGGTTATGTAACACTCTGTATATCTAAATTTTCAATACCTTAAAATTTGAATATCTCGATCCGGGCTCGCCATTAGCGGCTCATATTTTTAATTTGGTAGTTTCTCGCTGAGGATGATAATTTGATCCGAATATAGCTAATCAAATCAACTGATACGACAAAAAGTTCCACTGTTAGTTTCAATGATATGCCAAATGATTGAATACAATTATGTATATTTTTGTTTTAAAATTTTATAGAATCACATGACTATATATATGGTCATTATCAAAGGTTGAAAAAATATCAATGAATATTACTAGACAAATTAAATAGATAATAGAGCATGGCAAATATTAATCATTCGATATGTTTTATTTTCAACAGGTCATAAAATAGAAATAAATAGGTATATTAAAAGGTAAAGAAGTATCACACATATGTTACACGGCATTTCAATTGCATCCACCATTTGTTTTTCTTGCTTAAGAGATCTCTTTTGTTTTCGAGAATTGATATATAGCGAGAAAGTACAGATTTCACAGCATTGCTTGATATATTAATCATGAATAACATATGAAGTTTTGAGAAAAAAAATATGGTGTACTTTTTACTACAATTTACTAGAGATCAACATTGGAGCTCTCTAAATTGCTTACTAGTCAATTACGTTGAACACTACAGACTTTTTTTTGAATGATGAGTTTTATTTTTTGATATTCATTGTACAAACTAATATATTTTGAAGATTTGATTCACGTTCCCTCAGGCCTTCGCAAAGATGAAGGATGAACAGTTGGAGTCAACGTTGACTCCGACTTTTTCTCATGGAAGTTAGGTCTCCAAAAGATAACAATCGAATTCCGAAAACATATAACTTTGTATGTATAAATAGCAACAAAAGTGTCAAATCTGAAAGCTGAATTCAATTATTGAAGATGTTTTCAGATATTCCACTATTCTGTTTTCGTGACATCCACATTGGGAGATGTATGAGTACTTTCGTGCTACTCAAGTATTGAGTAGTTGAAAATGTTCACTCCAATTATTGCATAATTGAATAGTTGAGTATCTGAAAACGTCTTCTTTAATTGAATTCAACTTTCAGATTTGATACTACTGAATATTTGAAAAATATTTCGTTTATCTTTATTATAAAGGCAACTGAAAGATAATGAAAACGATAAATTATTACAAACTATCATATGTAATTGTTCAATATTGTAGATACAGTTCCTCAATCAATATTATTATTCCTACGGCTCTAAATTAGAACTATGAGCAAGGAAAAAAACAATTACAAAAGTGTTAAAATTACACTATAATATATCCATTCGTCGATAAATTTCCATCAGTAAATTTATCTCGATAAGTGATTTGCAAAACTAATGTTAGAAAATTGTATATGTAACTATTATAATTTCTACATATTTTTGAACTTTGCTTTTTATCATTTGTACGCACGTATTGAAATAAAATTTATTAGACTACTTTTCGTATTATTTCTGCAAACCTTTTTCGAGGAATCAACAATGCGGTTCATACCATATAGTAACCAAATAGATAATCACAAAAAAAAATATTTTCTTTATTCTACGACAATATGTATGAGGTATGCTTTCTTTCAATAAAATGAGAACAATTATATCCTATCGAGAATTTGATCAATAAGATAAATATTAATTACATATTAGTAGAAGAAAAAAAAAAACTAATGAAGAAAAACGAAATTTTCAAATAGAAGGTATTGTCGCAGGATCGGCCGCCATATTCAATTCATCGCTATTATTAAACTGTTCATGTTGTCTTCGTTTACATAAATCCGTAATCAAAATAGGTGATTTTCCATATTTTGGTAATTTCTTTGTTTCGACTCGAACACTACCCGCTGCTACACCATATTGTCCAGCTAATGGTAAAAACCAAAGACAATTCTCATCACGTAATCCAGCAAATATATAATACCAAGCACCAATAAAATAAAGTATATCGCCATATTTATATAATATATTCGTTCCATATTGTTCAGGATATATATTAATTTGTATATTGTATACAATATAAATAACCGAACTTATTGTTGTAGTTAAATATGCAACAGTATCTGGATCATCGAAAGTAAAACCTCGACCTAATGTACGAGTATAAGTCAAATACCAAGACATAATCCTAAAAAAAAAATATCACAATTCATTTTTCTTTTTAGAAATATTTTATAATTCTTTACCATCCAAATGAAGCAACTACTTCAATAATAGCTGCTGTCATTTCGATTTTATGTACAGCTAAAGTATAATAACCACCAAGAGTATCTTGTTTTGAATACCAAAAAGCTGACCAAAGATAAAGTCCAGCTTCAATATGATTTAAATATTCGGGTATCATTATAATATCAAGCCATGATCGATCACGCCATGCCCACCAATAGAGAAAAGCTGATATTAAGTGTAAAATTCCAAATATAATATAGTATCGATTGATATTTGGATTCATATTGACAGGTTGATCAAGAGTTGTCAATTTGATAGAAGATATATTAGTTGATTTTTCATTAAAACTAGGATGAAAATTAATAATCAAAATTCCTATAGAATAAATTAAATAGACTAAATTTGCAAGCATATATCGACTACGTAATAATTTGCTCCAACAGATTGGTATTCGTACTCGTACATATTTCCATTGTAATGCTTCACAAATTGAATTAAATGATTGAAATTCATAAATAGGTGAAGTTAAATCTTTATTCTCTAACATAGAAATAGATGATCCTTGATTTTCAATCATCGTTCATGTGAATAACATATATTTTCCTAATAGAAATAGACAGTAGTTAACGAATCAGCAATAACATACATAGAGGGCACCGATGCATATCATACAAAGAAT